TGCAAAATCTCGGGGACGCGCTGCCAGAGGAGATTCGGGATCTGGCGCTGCGAGAAGCGCAGTGGGTAGGTCGCGTCTCCTCGCCCGCTACTGCACAGCCTGGTGTCAAGGCTCAGGAGGGTCCTGCGCCATGTTGGCAGGGTTAGCGGTGCCCCAAGCTCCCGTAGAAATAGCCCGAGAACGAAGGAGATGCTACTGTCAGCTGGGTATTAGTCACTTAGGCTAGGTTTGTGCGGAAACATACAAGGCGAGCACCGTATGTAAGTTGAAAGTAAAATTAGGAAAAAGTTGGTGAAATCAACTTTAATATTTTATTGAACCCACATTATCTAAAATATCGTTTTAGCTGGTAATAAAAAAATTAATGAGATATTTTACATTCCTTTGTGTTAAGCTTTACAAATCTGGTGTGTCAAGCTAACAGCTCATTGTCTTTCGGAGTAGTCTTAACTTTAAGACCAAAATAGTCACAAAGTGGCTATTGGCCCCCCTATTGCAGACCTAGACTCTGAAGAATTCTCTATTAAAGGGTAATTCTGGAAGTCTAAGAGTTGTGGTTTTTCCTCTTGCGTGTTTTGCAACATCTTGTAAAGAGAGAGAAAATATTTTTCCCACGTCTGAAATAGATAAGGAAGCGGTCTTGATTATAATCTTCACTAAGATCACACATTCGCCTTTATAATGCATTTCTCCTTTTCTGAAATATTTTCCAAGCTTTGAAAAAGATCGTTTTCTGGGGTGAGATAACAAATTGAGGGATCGGTGCCTGTCAAGAGTATACAGTCTGTATGTAGGAAAGTTTAGAAGCTTATAATGCAGCACAGTTGTGACTGTGAGACATCACAATGCAAATAGTACAGGTTAAGTGGAAGATGATTGAGGAAACATTCCCTAGGTTATGATTCTATATTTTAGCTTTGTATACGTTGGGTTTTTTTTTTTTATTTTGTGTACGTTGGTTTTTATTTTTACCTTGCAAGCAGGGGAAGAATAGAGACATATCTCAGGAAACTCTTAGTAGTTTTTGGGAGAAGACTGTTTAGTTGTGTAATGATCTTAGAATCTGCCCTTTTATAGAAGTGTTCAGTTTGAACCTTTAATTACCTTACAGAAAAAGAGGAACTTAACCTATTGTACCTTATTTAATGGATGATAAAGTGAATTAGAAGATAAAGGTTTCAAGACTTAAACTGCCAAGGGAATTCAGTTGCTTTGTTGTAAATAAGAAAGCAGATAAAAGGCAGAGGCTTTATTATAGTGACAGTTCTTTATCCAAAATCATACAATATAGTAACATATTCTAAAAATAAAATTGGTATGACTGCAATATTACCACAATAAGCACAGTCATCATCTGTCACCAAAGTTATTACAATAGCATTTTTTATGTATGTATTTTTTATGCACGTATGTTTTTATCGAAGTATAGTTGATATTATGTCTTGGTTTCAGATATACAACACCGTAATTAGACAGTTATGTACATTACTAAATGTTCACCATGGTGAGTGCAGTTACTGTCATCATACAAAGATACATTGACTATGTTCCCTATGCTGTATTTTTTTAAATATACAGTCTTATATTAGTTTCAAGTATACAACACAGTGGTTCAACAGTTACCCATATTATTAAGTCTTCACCTCAACTAGTACAGCTACTATCTGTCAACATAGGACGATGTTACAGAATCATTGGTTATTCTCCATGCTGTACTATTATCCCCATGACCAAGCTACATTATAACTGAGAATTTTTATTCCGCTTTATCCCCCTCACCACCCTCCTCACCCACCCATTCCAGCCCCTCCCCCATAGTAACCACCAGTCCATTCTCCGTGTCTGTGAGTCTACTCTTATGGTGTACTTTTGATCTGTGTGACCTAGCCATTTTATAATTGGAAGTTTGTACCTCTATCTCCCTCACCCACTTAGCCTGTCCTCCCACCCACCTCTATTATGGCAGCCACTAGTTCTCTGTATCTAGGAGTCTCTTTCTGTTCTGTTTGTTCATTTGTTTCATTTTTTTAGATTCCACATGTCAGTGAAATCACATGCACTTGTCTCTTCTTACCCATTTTACCTCCACAGTTCCCTGGCTAGGTCTGTCCAGGTCACAAATGGCAACATTTACTATGAACATTTTTAACCTTACAACAAAATAGGCTAGTAGAGCAGACACCCATAGATCCATTACTAAATTTAGCAGTTTTCAAAAATTTGTTGCAATTCCTATTTTAAAGCAATCCCAGATCTCAGTAATCTCCTCTTTACACACTTCAGTGTACCTGTAAAAGAAGCAGTCCTTTTCAAAGTAGAAATTAATTTCACTTTTTAAAAGCATGTGTATTTTCCCTCTCACTAATATACTTGTTCAGCAGCATATGTAGTACTTACTGAGATTCAATTGAGCCCGAATTTGTTAGCTTTTATTGTTTCTTTCATTTAAGAAAGAAATTCTTTTTGTTTTTAAGACTCTTCTAAAATTTTGCGTCAGATTTGCTCATAGATAGCATAATGGCTGTCAGAGCTAAAATGTAGGTAGAACCACTGATATAAATGGAATCTTGGTAAGAGTGAGTATACTAACATAATAGGCTAGTCTACAGTTTTTCTTCATATTCTCTATTACAAATCTGAAATTGTTATTTTGAGAAAATGTTTGAATTCAGTATCTAAAGTTGTTTTTAGTGATTTGACTGTGAATTTATTTCAGACTTTTGAATCAGCTGTGCAAGAGAATGTAAGCATTAATGGGCAAGCGTGGCAGGAAGCTTCAGATACTTCTATGGGTATGTGTTTTAACTTTTTCCTTCTGTTATTTCTGAGTGTTTTTTGTAGTTAATTTTATTTTGAGTGCTAGTTTTTAGTCCCCATATTCAGTGTCAGTTCTTTTTAAAACATTACTGGGGATAAAAGAAAATCTAAGGAGACTTGAAGTCACAGTCTGAGGCAAACCACAAAGCAGATACTTTGACCCTTTACATACGCTGTCTAACATTCTCAAGAAGACTTTTATCTGCTTAATCTTCAGAAGTATGCTTGTCAGTAGTTTTTGGAAAATACTGTAGAACTATCCCTAGATGAAGAAACAGGACCAGAGAATTCCTATCATTAACACTTGGTAAATCAAGTAAAATTTTTAAAAGTGATCCCCAGAGTAGATAGGGAGGTGCCCTTGGAAGTACAAAGTTAGACTGTAAGAGGTCAATATTTGGAGAAACCTCCTTTAAAAAGGCAGAATATTTCCCTGATCCAAAGCAGACTTGATTGTACCCTAACTAATGGTGTTGACATATTTAGAGAAGTCAAAGTTTTAATAGAAAGAAAATGGTCAGTGTAGGAAGGAAAAACCTGTAATAGAAAAAGAACGATCGGTGTGGGAAGAGAGGCAGAGCCCCCAGCCGTGTCCGGGAGAAGGGCTACTCTGATAAGAGGGCCGGCGTGTCTTGTCTGTCCCCATGGAGAAATTACAGAGATCTGAACAGCATCGCTTGAATTAAGTGCTAGCTATTTAGGTGATCCCTTTATACCCTTTAGCTGATTTCAGACCCATCAAGTAACCCTCTGTGGTTATAATTTTTCCTCTCAACATTAAGATAATACTTTGCCTAGAAGATTTCACTGTTTAATCCTTGGGATTATTATAGTTATCTCTTCAATGTCACCAAAATTCACTTTTTGGTTTACCTATTAAAACAGTAAAAACACTAATACCAAATTTCCCAAACACTAACAGACTGTCAATTAGTAGGGGAGAGGGAACACCTAGGGATATTTTCAAACTAGTCAGCCTTTACCATGTCTTTAGCTGACTCTGTTCTGTGAAGTCACTTCGGAATTGCTTTATTATTTCTCCCAGACTGCCTTTAGCAGTATAATTCATCAACTTGTAGGTTAAGATACATATTTTCCTACAGGTTGGTAGCCTGGGTAGAGTGTGGTTATTCTTTATCCCTTTGTCCCCCTGTAACTATGGTGGGAAATAGTTGAGAATGTTAAACTTTTACCATCTATTATGGGTTCTTGATAAATTCCAGGCACTATGCCCAGTGCTGGGAAATAGATGAAAAAACATGGTTCTTAACCATTTAGGAACTCATCATTAATGAAAGGAAATGGATAAGGAATCTCACTACTCTTTGGGAAGTGGGAAAAGACCTAATAGGGCAGGTTGTTGTTTAAATTAAATGCACATAATAAATGAGAGTGTGCTAGACAGAAAGGAAGTAGGAGGGACAAAAGAATCAAAGAAAACAGCATGTGCAAAGGTATATATTTGAAAAATGTCAGAAATGAATTAGGAAAACTAAAGGCAGATGTGGCCAGAAGATTAAGTTAGAGCCAGTCATATAGAGCCCTGTAGAATATGCTAAGGAATATATCCTGTAGGCACTAGGCAACTGGTGAAGGTTTTAAAAGTAGAATTTAACATGAAAAAGTTTCTCTTTTAGAAAGATAACTGCTGGTGGTGTAAGGGATGGATTGGAGGAAGTAGAAATTCAAGGCAGGCAGACCTTATCAAAGTTATTGCATTAGTACAGCAAAAGATGGTGAAGACCTGCCCTAAGACAATGGTAAAAGAGAGGAAAAGACGGGTGCAAGAGATGTTCAGTAGATAGAATTAATAGGATTGTGTCTGATGTAATACCTAGGAGCAATAAGTAAGCTTAACAAGGGCAGGAGTTTTGTCAGTTTTGTTCACGGAAATCATATAAATGAATAAATGAATGAATCAGCAAATGAAAGAATGAATGAACATACAAGTGAAAACATTTCTGTCTCTGAAAGGACTTGATTTCAGACAGCTTGACCAGGCACATTTGAGAATTAAAATGTAAGTTCCTTGAGAGCAGGGACTATATAAGTTTTTTTCATCACTATGTTTTTAACATTTCACTTTGCTTATAGAAAGCACCCACTAAAAATACTTGCTAAATTAATGAATAATTTTTTCCTGCTCAGATTATTTATATATTTCAGTCTTGCAGCTTTATCATTAGGTGGCACTAAGAAACCATTGTCCTACATTTTGTACATAGAAGATTTAGCTAGGAGACTTGTCTTTTGTGAAATTTTGTGAAATAGTACAATATTCCTTTCAGGTTAGTGATTGAGAGGAAAGATTAAAATTTAGTCTCTCACAATGCTCTCAAGAGAAGTATTTTAGTTGGACTTAATGGTTTTTACCCCAATGAAAGGCCGTACCTGATATACCTCCTTAATCTTTACCTGAATGCATGATGATCTATGTATATATGCTGATATATATCAGCAATGTCTTAAAATGTTTCCAGAAATATATGCCATGTTTAAGACTTCTCCCTAATGAAGCTTCTACCCAATAAATAAATAGGTCCATTTCTATCATAGACTTTGCCATAGCAGAACACATATAATGTAAGAGCAGGCAGGCTGAGGACCTAGCTCTTTAGTATTTTTAACTACTTAACATTTGTCACTCTTTAAAATGATTGCAAAATCAGGTTGATTGTATCAACTGCATTCATTTCATCTGGGGTGCTTAATTTCTGGGCCCCATTGTGGAGACCTCCACTGAATCAAAATTGCTGCGCTCTGACAAGTTCCCCAGGTGATTATTCATTCTGCTAAAGTTTCATGATTATTAGTTTGAAACATAGAGAAGCAACTGGTAAGTAGTTACAGCTAAATCAAAAAAACTCTAAAGTCACTGCATCTTTTACTTTTTCCTCCCATTTATCCTGTTGCTCCAGTTTCGGGTCCAGCTACTTTACTTACTGCTACTGTCTCAGCTTTGGCTCAGCACATAGTAAAGTCAAAACTTGGTAGGATCCCTGATACTAAATGCCCTTTACAGTCTGTTTCATAAACACTTTATCATCCTTTCCTCCTACTTCATCCTGCAACCATTTAGAACTTTTTCTGTTTCCCAAAGACTCTGTGATCTTGTAAATGTGATCTTCTTTTTCTGCCTAAAATGCTTATCCCCTTATTTTTTCCCCCTACCTTTTTTTTTTAATTAAAATACTTTTGATATACAATCTTATACTGGTTTCAAGTACACAACACAGTGGTTCAACAGGTCCCCATATTATTAAGTCCACATTCCCACTAGTGTGGTTACTATCTGTCAGCATAGGAAGATGTTACAGAATCATTGGCTATATTCTCCATGCTGTATTACTATCCCCATGGCCAACTTATATTGTGATTGAGAATTTTTGTGCCCCTTTATCACCTTTACCCTTCCCACCCACCTACCCCTCCCCTCCCCCATGGGAATCACCAGTCACTTCTCAGTGTCTATGAGTCTACTGCTATATATTTTTTTTAGAATGGAAAATATTTTTTTTTAAGTTATCTTTGATATACAGTCACATGAGCAACATTGTGGTTACTAGATTACCCTCATTATCAAGACCCCACCACATACCCCATTACAGTCGCTGTCCATCAGCAAAATAAGATGCTATAGAGTCTTCCCTGTGCTGTACTGCCTTCCCCGTGCCCTCCCATATTATGTGTGCCAATCATAATGCCCCTTAATCCCCTTATCCCTCCCTTCCCGCCCAGTCTCCCCAGTCTCTTCTGTTTGGTAACTGTTAGTCCCTTCTTGGGTTCTGTGAGTCTGCTGCTCTTTTGTTCCTTCAGTTTTTGCTTTGTTCTTATACTCCACAGATGAGTGAAATCATTTGGTACTTGTCTTTTTCTGCCTGGTTTATTTCACTGAGCATAATACCCTCTAGCTCCATCCATGTTGTTGCTAATGGTAGGATTTGTTTTCTTCTTATGGCTGAATAATATTCCACTGTGTATATGTACCATATCTTTATCCATTCATCTAGTGATGGACAGTTAGGTTGCTTCCATTTCTTGGCTGTTGTCAATAGTGCTGCGATAAATATAGGGGTGCATATGTCTTTCTGAATCTGAGAAGTTGTATTGTTTGGTAAATTCCAAGGAATGGGATTCCCGGGTCAATGGTATTTCTATTTTAAGTTTTTTGAGGAACCTCCATATTGCTTTCCACAATGTTTGAACTAATTTACATTCCCACCAGAAGTGTAGGAGGGTTCCCCTTTCTCTACATCCTTGCCAGCAGTTGTTGTTGTTGTTTGTCTTTTGGATGTGGCCACCCTAACTGATGTGAGCTGACACCTCATTGTGCTTTTAATTTGCATTTCCCTGATGATTAGCGAGGTGGAGTATCTTTTTATGTGCCTGTTAGCCATCTGAATTTCTTCTTGGAAGAAGTGTCTGTTCATATCCTCTGCCCATTTTTTAATCAGGTTATTTGCTTTTTGGTTGTTGAGGTGCATGATCTCTTCTTTTGGATGTCAACCCCTTAGTGGATATGTCATTTATGAATATATTCCCCCATACTGCAGTATGCCTTTTTGTTTTACTGATGGTGTCCTTTGCCATACAGAGGCTTTTTAGTTTGATATAGTCCCACTTGGTCATTTTTGCTTTTGTTTTCATGAAAAAGGTGCTCGTGTTTATATTCAAGAGAGTTTTGCCTATGTTTTCTTCTAAGAGTTTTATGTTTTCATGACTTACATTCAGGTCTTTGATCCATTTTGAGTTTACTTTTGTGTATGGAGTTAGGCAGTAATCCTGTTTTCATTCTCTTGCATGCAGCTGTCCAGTTTTGCCAACACCAGTTGTTGGAGAGGCTGTCATTTCCCCATTGTATGTCCATGGCTCCTTTATCCTATATTAATTGACCATATATGGTTGGGTTAATATCTGGACTCCCTGTTCTGTTCCATTGGTCTATGGGTCTGTTCTTGTGCCAGTACCAAATTGTCTTGATTACTGTGACTTTGTAGTAGAGCTTGAATTTGGGGAGTGTAATACCCCCTGCTTTATTCTTCCTTCTCAGGATTGTCTTGGCTATTCAGGGTCTTTTGTGGTTCCATATGAATTTTAGAACAATTTGTTCCAGTTCGTTGAAGAATGCTGTCAGTATTTTGATAGGGATTGCACTGAATCTGTATATTGCTTTAGGCAGTATGGCTGTTTTGACAATATTCTTCCTACCCAAGAACATGGGATGAATTTCCATTTATTAGTGTCCTCTTTAATTTCTCTCAAGAGTGTCTTGTAGTTTTCATGGTATATGTCTTTCACTTTCTTGGTTAGATTTATTCCTACCTATTTTATTCTTTTTGATGCAATTGTGAATGGAATTGTTTTCCTGATTTCTCTTTTCTGCTAATTTATCATTAGTGTATAGGAATGCAACAGATTTCTGTGTATTCATTTTGTATCCTGCAACTTTGCTGAATTCAGATATTCTAGTAGTTTTGGAATGGATTCTTTAGGGTTTTTTATGTACAATATCATGTCATCTGCAATTTCTTACCCATCTGGATGCCTTTTATTTCTTTGTGTTGTCTGATTGCCGTGGTGAAGACCTTCAGACCTTTGTTGCATAAAAGTGGGAAGAGTGGGCATCCTTGTCTTGTTCCTGATCTTAAAGGAAAAGCTTTCAGCTTCTCACTGTTAAGTCTGATGCTGACTGTGGGTTTGTCATATATTGCCTTTGTTATGTTGAAGTACTTGCCCTCTATACCCATTTTGTTGAGAGTTTTTATCAAGAGTCTACTGCTATTTTGTTCATTTTGTTTTGTTTTGTTTTTTTATTCCACAAATAAGTGAAATCATACGGTATTTTTCTTTCTCTGCCTGGCTTATTTCATTTAGCATAATATGCTCTAGGTTCACCCATGTTGCAAATGGCAGGATTTCTTTTTTTATGGTTGCACAATATTCCATCGTGTATATGTACCACATTTTCCCTACCATTTCTTATCTAATGGATTTACACTTCATTTCAAGGCCCAGCTCAAATGTTACTTTCACTTTAAAGTCTTAAATTGCCCAGGCAGTTAGTTTTCCATCGTTGTGTGTCCATTATTTCCTTCATACCTCTGCTGTATTTATCAAATTACTGCAGTTTTCTGTCTGTCTCTTCCAGTGAATCTTGACCTCTAGGAGAGCAGGCATCATGTTATGTTCATCTTCTTTTTCTCATTTAGGCCTGAATCCCCATAGATGCTCAGTAATTGGTTGTTAGTTACATTAGTAAATGAATCAGTTACCAAAGTGGGGTCATCAATTATCTTGCTGTATTTGTTTTCCTTAATTATTTTGTGTTGACTAAATTTAGTTTACGTACATTTCCATATAGAATGTAAACAATGTGTTTTAAGGAGCTTTTTGCTTTTTCTCCCTTGAAATAGATTCAGATATCAAAGTACTTGAAGATCAGTTTGATGAAATCATAGTAGATTTGGCCACAAAACGTAAGCAGTATCCCAGAAAGATTCTTGAATGTGTCGTCAAAATAATAAAAGAAAAACAAGAAATTCTGGTAAGATGGTTTACCTTTCTTAAAAATAGTAAATTTTATGTTATGTTTATTTTACTACAATAAAAAAATTATAAGATTCATGTGGAGCTAAATGACATTTTGTTTTTTTTTGTCTTTCCTGCTTCAGTTACTACTGTTGGTCTCTTGTAAGATTTTTTTCCTGTTCTAAGTCACACTAGGTTTTGAATACAGCTTTTATTAAAATAGAACTTGAAGATGATAGAATGACAATGATTTTATAATTCTGAAACCAGAAAGGAGAAAGAAATTTATCTTTTAAACGTTTTCTTACTATTTGTTATTTGTGTTTGTCACATTTGTACTTGTTGATGTATTTTGGAAAACCCTCTAGTTAAATTGATAACAGATTGACTACCTGTTCATAACACCTAAGTTTGCTTTATGAATTGTGTATAATTTGTTTTGCTTCAGAAACCATGATGGGGCAGGAGTAGGTGTGCTTGGAGTGGCATTGCCTCTGGAGTGAGAAATGCATGTTGCTTTAGATGATGCTGTGTTGTTTGTCCTTAGTTTTTATTAGCACACTCCCACATATAAATTCTCCAGTTACTTTCCTTTCAAGAATTGCTTTAGGCAATAGAGGTGGGTATTTTATGTAAAACATTTTAGTCATCATTCTATGAGAAATAACTATAAGCAGACCTTTTCCTTTTTGTTCTTCCATAGCAGTTAGTCCTCAGGGAAATACCTCATTCTATCCTCCCTCTGCCTTTTAAAGTTTCCTCAGGGAAATATTCAAAATGTATTTTTCCCAGTGTCTCCTTCCTTGATACTACCCTGTCCTCCCCCCCAGAAACCTAGTAATCAGTCCTGCAGAAAAGAAAAGCTTGGCAGGCCTAGGTGAGGTATTGCTGGGAAAGTTTTAAGTATTAATGCAAAATGGATGGGGTGAAGACATGAAAGATAGCTTCTTTTTTTTTTTTCTGGTATCATTAATATACAGTCACATGAACAACATTGTGATTACTAGATTCCCCCCATTATCAAGTCCCCACCACAGACCCCATTACAGTCACTGTCCATTAGCATAGTAAGATGGTATAGAGTCACTACTTGTCTTCTCTGTGCTATACTGGCTTTCCCATGCCACCCCCTACGTTATGTGTGCTAATCGTAATGCCCCTTATTCCCCTTATGCCTCCCTTCCCTCCCTCCCTCCCCAGTCCCTTTCCATTTGGTAACTGTTAGTCCATTCTTGGGTTCTGTGAGTCTGCTGCTGTTCTGTTCCTTCAGTTTTTGCTTTGTTCTCATGCTCCTCAGATAAGTGAAATCATTTGGTACTTGTCTTTCTCCGCCTGGCTTATTTCACTTAGCATTATACCCTCTAGCTCCATCCATGTTGTTGCTAATGGTAGGATTTGTTTTCTTCTTATGGCTGAATAACATTCCATTGTGTATATGTACCACATCTTCTTTATCCATTCATCTACTGATGGACACTTAGGTTGCTTCAATTTCTTGGCTATTGTAAATAGTGCTGTGAAAACATGGGGTGGGTGAATACGTCTTTTTGAAACTGGGGCCTGCATTCTTAGGGTAAATTCCTAGGAGTGGAATTCCTGGGTCAAATGGTTTTTATTTTTAGTTTTTTTAGGAACCTCGATACTGCTTTCCACAGTGGTTGAACTAGTTTACATTCCCACCAGCAGTGTAGGAGGGTTGCCCTTTCTCCGCATCCTCATCAGCATTTATTGTTCCTAGTCTTTTCTATGTTGGCCATCCCATCGGATGTGAGGTAATACCTCATTGTGGTTTTAATTTGCATTTCCCTGATAATTAGTGATGTGGAACATCTTTTCATGTGCCTGTTGGCCATCTGAATTTCTTCCTTGGAGATGTGTCCGTTCATATCCTCCACCCATTTTTTAATAGGGTTATTTGCTTTTTGGGTGTTAATGCATGTGAGTTCTTTATATATTTTGGATGTTAACCCCTTGTCAGATATATATTCTCCTATACTGTAGGATGCCTTTTTGTTCTATTGGTGGTGTCCTTTGCTGTATAGAAGCTTTTTAGCATGATGTAGTCCCATGTGTTCATTTTTGCTTTTGCTTCCTTTGCCCTAGGAGATGTGTTCAAGAAAAAGTTGCTCATGTTTATATTTAAGAGATTTTTGCCTATGTTTTCTTCTAAGAGTTTTATGGTTTCATGACTTACTTTCAGGTCTTTGATCCATTTTGAGTTTACTTTTGTGTATGGGGTTAGACAATAATCCAGTTTCATTCTCGAAAGATAGCCTTTTAAAAAACCTTTTGGCTCCTGTGAGTTTTGGGTAAGAGTAAGGAGGATCATTTTCCTGTTTCTTTTTTGCCTGAATTGTGGATCCTGTTCCTATAGTTCTGCTGCTTACTATAGTCGTGGTGCATTGCAGTGTATTACAGGGTGCGTAGGCTTTAGAATACTGACATGATAGTGGCCTAGCCACTTTCCAAGTCAGAGTTTCTGTGGGAATATGAGTTCTGAGTTCCAAACACTTGTCTTAAAATGAACCTCTGAAAAACATTCCATTCATAATTTGGAGACTGTACTTTGAACAGAAAATTCAGTCTGTCTTTTAATTTGCTTTCCTACAGATTTTTATGGTGCTATTTCGTAGTGTACGCAGTAGGTGGCAGTACTATAAAAGTTATAATCAGTTTGATCTCCTTTCCCTTCACATTTTAGTATCTGTGTGTGTGTGTGTTGTTTTCAAAAGAGTAGTACTACTAATAGTATATTTGCTTATATTGACGAAAGGAAATGTTTATATGAGACATTAAGTGGTTAAATCTCTTTTAATTTTTATTTTGTTTAGAAGCGGTACCATCCTGTTGTACATCCACTGCACCTAAAATATGACCCTGATCCAGGTGAGTCGGTATTCATTTGTGGTAAAAATGAAGCATCAGCTTGTAATTTTTATGAGTTTTTGATATTCTTTAAAGGTGTCACACTGAGGTTCTTCCCTTTGATGTCCTAACTCACTACCAGACATCTGTATTTAGCGCTTCACTTAGGATTATGAGAATTAGCTGTAAACCTACTGACCCAGACCTGAACCTACTACTACAGTAGTGGGACCCAGGAATCTGGACTTCTGTAAAGCTGTCTCCTGACCTAGACTGTTGTAATACTTTCCCAATATCTCACTCCTGTTTTTAGCACTCCCATCTCTAACTGTTATTATATTATCCATTCTTTGCATGATAGCCAACATTCTACTATTAAAGCACTCATGGTGTCACTCCTAGTGCCATAACCTTTATTGTTCCTCATGCTTTACAAAATCTAATAAAAATACAGTGTTGAACTTAAGAGATATGCATGCTTGTTATGCCTTTTTTTAAATTAAGGTATCACTGATCATGAAGAACATTGTGGTTACTACATTCCCCATATTATCAAGTCCCCCCCATACCCCATTGCAGGCACTGTCCATCAGTGTAGTAAGATGCCACAGAATAACTATCTGTCTTCTCTGTGCTATTCTGTCTTCCCCATGAACCCCTCCATACCATGTGTACCAACATGATACCCCTGAATCCCCTTCTTCCTACCTCCCCACCCACCCTCTCCCACTCCCTTCTTTTTGGTAACTGCTAGTCCCTTTGTGGAGTCTGTGTGTCTGCGACTGTTTTGTTCTTTCAGTTTTGCTTTGTTGTTATGCTCCACAAATGAAGGAAATCATTTGGCACTTGTCTTTCTCTGCCTGGTTTATTTCACTGAGCATAATACCGTCTAGCTCCATCCATGTTGTTGCAAATGGTAGGATTTGTTTTCTTCTCTTGGCTGAATAGTATTCCATTGTGTATATGTACCCCATCTTCTTTATCCATTCATCTACTGATGGATACTTAGGTTGCTTCCAAATCTTGGCTGTTGTAAATAGTGCTGCCGAAAACATAAGGGTGCATTTGTATTTTTGAATCTGAGGTCTTGCTTTCTTTGGGTAAATTCCTAGGAGCAGAATTCCTGGGTCAAATGATATTTCAATTTGTATTTTTTTGAGGAACCTCTATATTGTTTTCCACATGGTTGAACTAATTTACATTCCCACCAGCAGTGTAGGAGGGTTTTCCTTTCTCTGCATCCTTGCCTGCATTTGTTGTTCCTAGTCTTTCAGTGTTGGCCATCCTAACTGGTGTGAGATGATATCTCATTCTTAGATTTGCATTTCTCTGATAATTAGTGATGTGGAGCATCTTTTCATGTGCCTGTTGGCCATCTGAATTTCCTCTTTGGAGAAGTGTCTGTTCATATCCTCCTCCCATTTTTTAATAGGGTTTTTTGTTCTTTGGGTGTTGAGGTGTGCGAGTTCTTTATATATTTTGGATGTTAACCCCTTGTTGGATATGTCATTTACAAATATGTTCTCCCATACTGTAGGATGCCTTTTTATTTTACTGATGTTGTCCTTTGCTGTACACAAGCTTTTTAGTTTGACATAGTCCCATTTGTTCATTTTTGCTTTGTTTCCCTTGCCCAAGGAGATGCATTCAGGAAGAACTTGCTCAAGTTTATACTCAAGAGATTTTTGCCTATGTTTTTGTCTAAGAGTTTTATGGTTTCTTGACTTATATTCAGGTCTTTGATCCATTTTGAGTTTACTTTTGTGTATGGAGTTAGACAATAATCCAGTTTCATTCTCTTACATGTAGCTGTTCAGTTTTTGCCAATACCAGTGTGGAAAAGGCTGTCATTTCCCCATTGTATGTCCATGGCTTCTTTATCATATATTGATTGACCATAGATGCTTGGGTTAATATCTGGGTTCTGTATTCTGTTCCATTGGTCTATGGGTCTGTTCTTGTGCCAGTACCAAATTGTCTTGATTACTGTGGCTTTGTAGTAGAGCTTGAAGTCGGACAGCGTAATCCCCTCAGTTTTATTCATCCTTCTCAGGATTGCTTTGGGTATTTGGGGTCTTTTGTGGTTCCATATGAATTTTGGAACTATTTATTATAGTTTGTTGAAGAAGCTGTTGGTGTTTTGATAGGGATTGCATTGTATCTATAGAATGCTGTAGGCAGGGTGGCCATTTTGACAGTATTAATTCTTCCTGTCCGTAAGCCCAGGATATATTTCTATTTATTGGTATCTTCTTTAATTTCTCTCATGAGTGTCTTGTAGTTTTCAGGGTATAGGTCTTTTACTTTTTGGTTAGGTTTATTCCTAGGTATTTTATTCTTTTTGATGGAATTGTTTTCCTGATTTCTCTTTCCCCTAGTTCATTGTTAGTATATAGGAATGCAACAGATTTCTATTATTGATTTTATAACCTGCAACTTTGCTGAATTCAGATATTAGTTCTAGTAGTTTTGGAATGGATTCTTTAGGGTTCTTTATGTACAATATCATGTCATCTCCAAACAGTGAGAGTTTGAGTTCTTCCTTGCCAATCTGGATGCCTTTTATTTCTTTGTGTTGTCTGATTGCCATGGCTAGGACCTCCAGTACTATGTTGAATAAAAGTGGGAAGAATGGGCATCCTTGTCTTGTTCCCAATCTTAACGGAAAAGCTTTTAGCTTCTCGCTGTTAAGTATAATGTTGGTTATGGGTTTGTCATATATGGCCTTCATTATGTTGAGGTACTTGCCCTCTATACCCATTTTGTTGAGAGTTTTTATGATGAGTGGATGTCAGATTTTGTCAAATGCTTTTTCAGCATCTATGGAGATGATCATGTGGTTTTTGTCCTTTTTGTCGATGTGGTTTATGATGTTGATGGACTTTTTAATATTGTACCATCCTTGCGTACGTGAAATAAATCCTTGATCATGATGGATGATCTTTTTGATGTATTTTTGAATTTGATTTGCTAATGTTTTGTTGAGTATTTTTGCATCTGTGTTCATCAGGGATATTGGTCTGTAATTTTCTTTTTTTATGGTGTGTTTGGTTTTGGTATTAGAGTGATGCTGGCCTCATAGAATGAATGAGTTTGGAAGTATTCCCTCCTCTTCTACTTTTTGGAAAACTTTAAGGAGGAAGGGTATTTGGTCTTCACTTAAATGTTTGATAAAATTCAGCGATGAAGCCATCTGGTCCAGGGGTTTTATTCTTAGTTTTTTTTTTACCAATTTAATTTCATTGCTGGTTATGCCTTTGAACTCAATTCTGTTTCACTTGGATACAGCCTCAAAGCACAGAGAAATAAAACTGATACAAGCTCATGCAAATCCAACAACAAAAGTGGCAATGCTACAAATGGCGATCACATATATTTTTAAATGGTTCTGTTCCCACATTTAAAAATTGTAGTGCTTCTATTTGCAGATGACATGATATGGTACATAAAAAACCCTAAAGACTCCACTCCGCAACTACTAGAGCTAATATCGGAATTCAGCAAAGTTGCAGGATACAAAATTAACACACAGAAATCTGTGGCTTTCCTATACACTAACAATAAACTAATAGAAAGAGAAATCAGGAAGACAGTTCCATTCACAATAGCATCAAAAAGAATAAAATACCTAGGAATAAACCTAACCAAGGAAGTGAAAGACCTATACCCTCAAAACTA